GATTGTGGAAGGTATCTCTGCAGCCCTCGGCGTAGCTGGCTCTGGCTGCTCGGTTGGGATGGAACTGGCCCTGGACGTTGAGGCGAGGTCAGTATCGGCATCGTGGTCACGCTGCTCGCCGGCCTCGACTGCTTGTCCTGCCGAGGGGCCAGGCGGCGACCATTGCGTGGAGTATAGGATTGTCGCCTCCTCTGAGCACTCCTCGGCTGCGCCTGGGGGGCTGCTAGACTCACGAGGTACGCTGTGACCTCGGTCAATGTCCTGCTGCAGTGCCAATTCTGCCTCGTATGCTTCAACTGCCCATCTCGCTTCATCCTCCAGCACTTCAGCCTCCCACTGCCGCTTCGCCTCCTGCTCTTCTAGTAGCCGTGCACGCGCCTCCCTGCTGTGCCTTTCTGCCTCCATTGACTGTGATGGCCTATTTGGGCTGCGTGACCTATCCCTCCTTGCCTTTGCGTCTTCGCCATCGCCTCTGCGCCTCGCTGGGGAGCGGCTGGGCGTGCATGCCCTGGCCGCGAGGCGCTCCTCAGCAGCGCATGGTGGCGGAAGCTGCTCATGAGGGGACTGCGGGGGCATGGTATCCTCTTCTGCTTTGCTGCTCCTCCTCCTGCGTCGCCTCGTATTCTTGCGCCGCCGCCAAGTCGTCGCCTTGCGACGGCTGTGACTCTGGCAGCTGACCTCCTTCCGCAATGCACTTTGCCGCCTGCTTGGTGAAGTCATAGCTCTCCCGGTTGGCGCCCCTCATCTCCGCGTATAGGTCGACCATCGCCCGCTGCTCTTTCGCCCTGCCTGCTGAGAAGGCCTCCAGGTGCTTGAGCTGAATCCTGAGCTGGCCTACTTCCGACTCCTCCTTGCAGCCTTGTTCTCTGGTAGCTGCAAGCTCTTCATGTAGCTGCTGGCTGTGCTGGAGGCCCTGCTGGTAGGAGTCGTGGATCGCCTGCTCCCGGTAGACCATCTGCTGGTTGGCAAAGTCCTCCATCTCCGCTGCCTCTACCATGCTGGCTTCTCTGAAGCTCCATGCCCTTGCCAGCTCCTCGTTGAATGAGCGCTCCTCCTCTTTGATTTCCTCGATCTGCTCGCAGAGCTGAGTTCTCAGAGCGGGGACCTCCTGTTGCATGCTGTGGACATGTAGTTGGGCATCATACGCCGCCGCTTCTTCTTGCATCACCCTGTGGATGAGTTGCTGGGCCTCCTCCGACTGTCGTGCAGCTGCCCCCTTCTCGAATGAATTCGCAGTCTCCTCCTCGCGAGAAGCCGTTGAATGCGCGCGGGCCAGTGCCATCTTCAGAGTCTGGACTTCCGCTGGCGCTGCCAGCTCTGAGTTGGAGCGTGCTGCCACTCCTCGAGCTGATTGACAGCTGAGACTCTGATCTCCTCAACCTCCTGGCGAGCTGACCTCCTGATATCTTCTTCGCGTGCCTCAGCTGCCTCTAAGTAGGCCGTTCCCTCTGCCAGCTGCTGCTGCTGTCGCTAAGCCGCGTCGACTACTCGCTGCGGCTGCCCGGCAGTCACTGGCGGCAGGATGCCTTTGCCGTTTGCTGTGGCAAGCTCTTTGGCTGAGAGCTCTCTTGCCTTCTGCTCGGCCTCGATCCTCGTCTTTGCAAGCTCCTCCTGGTGTGCTTCACTCATAGCTCTGACCTTCTCCTCGAACAGCATCTCGCGTCTCTGGAGCTGCTGACGGTGCGTGCCTGCTGCCGCGGCTGACTTGGTGACCTCGTGCTGCGCCTGCTGCAGCGCTCTCGCAACCTCTTGCCTTGCCTGCATGAGCTCCCTCTGCAGCTGCTCTGGCGGGGCCGCTGGTACGGCGTGCCCCTTCCTGGCCGCCTCCAATTCCGCGCGAAGCCCTTCTGCGCGCAGCCTTTCGGCGGCGGCCTCGGACTTCAGGCGGTCGTAGGCAGCATGTTGTGTTCGGCATCTGGTCTCCAGCTCCATCGAGTGCTTCTGCGAGTGGTCAAACCTCTCCTGAGCGAACTCATGCCTCATGGCAGCGATTTTTCTCAGGTGGTGCTCCTTCATCACGGCTTCCTCCTCTCGGAACTGCATGGGCACTTTGCCTTGCTCCTTCGCCGCTAGCCTGAGTTTCGCTTACTCCTCATTGTGGCGCAGGGCTTGCTCCCTTGCCACACGCCTGACCTGCTGGATCTCCGCCACGTAGTGCTCCTCAGCCTCTTCGTACCTACGCTGCTGCTGGGCTCGCTCCGCATTCGCCTTCGCCACCTGGTCAGCGAAGCCGCGGTTGGCGCTGCCTGTGGAGCTGGCCCTTGAGCGTGGCGTTCGCTGTGGCGTAATACTGTGCCAGCCTGCGTCAGCACCTTCAGCTGCTTCGCAGGCCAGGCGGCGGTCGACCGCCGCTTTGTGGAACTTGTCCCAGTCCAGTGCGCTCCCGAAGCCGTCTGCGTCCGCCCCTTCGTCGTCGGCGGTGCCGTCGAGGGTGGCGTCCGCCAGCAACGCCCTGACGTCCGAGATGTTGGATTCCACCTGCTTGAGTTCCATCATGGCCCTGTCCATGGCCTCCTTGACTTCGGCTGTCTTGGCCCTCAGCGCACCCACCGTCTCCTTCAGCATGGTCCTGCGCTTGGATAATTCCTGCAGCTGCTGGTCTGGCCTCCTGGTGACGAGCCGCTGATACTTTACCATGCTGATCTCACGCATCTGCTGGTGGGTGTGGTCGCCGGCCGCCTGCTTCGCAAGGGCCAGGTCACCCAGCTGCCTCAGGCGTTGCTCTGACGCGCTCTGGAACTTCTTGATGCCTGGGCGGTCGAAGGGGGGCGCCTGCCACTTTGGATGCGTTGTAGCTTCATCCAGCGTGCAGGGCGCCACGTCGTCAATCACCTTCTGCACTTGCTGGTCCGCCTTGCTCGAGCTCGCCTGGGCTGCCTTCTGTCCAGCTGGTCGTCCATGCTTGCCGCTGGCAGCCGCTCCTCTGCTGGTGGCATTGCGTCTTCGGCTGCCTGCTGCAGTGGGGGAGGACCACGGCGGCTGCTTCTGCTGCTGCTGCTGCTGCTGCTGTTGCTGCTGCTGCTGCTGCTGCTGCTGTGGCTGGTCCCACCATGAGCCCTCTCCTGCTGGTGACGGACTCCATTGGGCCTCTTGCCAACTGTTGCCCCTCCCGCGCCCTGTGCGCCATGGCGGTTCCGTGGCTTGGGCTGTCTGACTGGCTGCCCGCCCTTTGCCTCTGGTGCCGCCCCCGACTCCTCCCTTGACACGCCACGACATCGCTGGCTAGGAGGAGTGGTTGCGCGGGTGCTGCTGCTGCTAGGCACTGTGGCGGCAATTCAGCACCTGGGCCGCGTCGAGGACGCGGAAGAGGGTCCTCGCGGCGGCCATCTTCCCCCTTTGCCGCCTGTGCCAGGCGGGCCCGCCCGCACGGGGCGTGGCGGCTGCGCGCCGCCGCGGCTGCGGCGCCGATGGCGCGCTGCGCGCGGCCACGAGCGGCGGGGGCGACCGACGAAGACGACGGCCCCGCCCCTCCTCAGCCCGTGGCTCCTCCTCCTCCTCCTCCTCCTCCTCCTCCTCCTCCTCCTCCTCCTCCTCCTCCTCCTCCTCCTCAACCTCCCCTCCTCGGGTCGCCTACGGCCCCGGGGGAAACCGTCCACGACCAGCCTGGCCTCGAGCAGGTGTGCTGGCGTACGGTTCTGCCGCCCTCCCAGGAGTGTCTTTCCTCTCCTGGAACGTCGTCTGGGTCCTGGTCGGCCTCGCCCCGATCGGCGTCCTCTTCGCGGGGGTGCTCGCGAGCGGCTTCCTGGGCCGCGCGGAGACGATGCTGGACGTGAAGGCCAAGCCCGGCTACAAGAAGCGGGAGTTCCGCCAGCCCGGCCAAGCCAACCCCACGGACGACAAGGCCCCGAGAAGGAAAAGGGATCGATGCCGCTGCTCGTAATCCCAGGAGACGCCTTGTCCCCGCGGCTGAGTTCTCCTCGAGATCCTGGTCAGAACGCGCCCTGGGAGAGGTCTGGGGAGTATTGCTGTATCGCTACCTTCCGGTTTCCCCAGCAAGGCCCCGCCGGACGGCAACAAGTTCATGCCTAAGATCAACACGGCCAGCATCATCACGAACTGAGACGGTCCTGCCCCAGGGTGCGGCGCGCCCGTGCCCGGCGACCACAGGCGGGGGGGAGAAGTGAGGAGGAGGTGAGGAGGGGAGGACGCGGCGTGAGTTTTCTGCGACTGCGGCAATTTAAGCCACCGCACCCTGCTCTCATTTCTACGTTGTAATATGTTGCTTAGTTTGTTCCGTGGGCAGTTTTTGTTACGACGCCACCGCCAGCTTACAATGCGAAAACTACGTTTTCGCCAGCGGGCGATTATTATGCCAGCCCTTTGCAAAATCTCCATATCGCACCGAGGGCGCATAATGATTCACCAAAGGAGACGTCGCCAAAATGAAGATCACCAGTTCCAATATTTTGTATCCATGGCGTTTTGAGGTGGCATCGTCGCCAAATATCAGTTTGCGGTCACAGAGAGAACTTGTCAGTATGGAAACGCTCGGCGTTCCTCCTCGCCCTCCTCCTTTCAAGCGTCGTCCGAGAGGAACTCAGCCGTGGCGACGAGAAGCTTCCACAAGGCCCAGACAGTGCGAAAAACGCCCTCCCCAGCAAAAAAGCTAGCCTCCCACCCATCCATCTGAGCGGCGCAGAAAAACGGGCTCGTCTTCATCCCGCGCCCGCGAAGGGTCGCTATGTCATCTCGCGAGAAGACCCGCATCTTTTCGGCGCTCACCTTGTGGGCTCCACTTGGAACCCTTGGATCGCTGCCGCCCCGGCCGGAGTGCGACGTCGGCCGTCCAGAGACGGTCGTCTACACGTGAGGGTGGCCTTTCACCGGAGTGACTTTTGGTGCGGGCCCAATGGGGCCCCCCGATCGCTGAATGCGATGCGCTAGCAGCGGCTTGCGCGCCTGGCGCTGCCCCCACAGCCCCCACCCTTGGCAGCGCACTGAAGGTCACTCTTGCCGAGGGTCACTCTTGCGTGTAGCCGAGACGGAGCGGGCGCGCCGAGGTTGGTGAGCCTGTGCGGAGGGCGTCACCGCTGGAGGGGGGCTGGGCGCTGGCACCTCCCCCGGAGGGGGGGAGGCGCTCCCCCTGCCTTGGCTCCCTGGCTGAGCGCCCCCTGAGGCCACTGGCTAAGCCACAGCCAAAAAAAATGTCCGATCCTGCCGGCCCAGCATGCCCAGCCCGGCACCCCATCTTATCAGCGTCAAGCCGCCTGGCTGGCCGAAGCGCCTGCCTCACACCCCACGCCAAGGCAGGGGGATGGGAGGGGTGAGGAGAGGCCATGGGGAGGAGAAGGTACCGGCACCGCTGACCTTGCAACGTTTCCGCTTTGTTTTGCTGCACCTCCTGGAAGGCCCTCGTCGCCACGGCTGGATTCGCTTCGACATCCCGGCCAGAACGCGCCCTGGGAGAGGTCCAGGGAACAGCGGTACAGATCCGTCCCGAAGAGGGAGACGGTGGGGTTCGAAGTGGAATTGTTGACGCTTCGCGTATCCCCACCAGCCACGCCCTCTGGACTTTTCCTTGCGGGCCGCTGAACAAAAAAGTATCCCCACCAGCCCATCCAGAAACGATGCCCAGCAGAGTTGAAGTGATCAGGGAAATGCGGTAGCATGCACAAGAACAAAGGGTGGGGGGAAGCCGTCATATACCCCAAGAAGGGGAGGATGGAGGAGGAATCATCGTCGTCGGAGGAGGAGGAAGAGGAGGAGGAAAAGGCGGAGGAGGAGGAAGAGGAGGAGGAGGAGGATGTGGAGTAGAGCGAGGACGAGGAGGACGAGAAGGAGGAGAAGGAGGGAGAGTTGGGTACCTTGGGGATCATCTTGAGGCCTCGTATGGGGTCTCTTTGGGACCTCTTGGAGGCATCTTGGGGCCGTCTGGGCGCCTCTTGGGGTCCTCTTGGGGCGCTCTTGGGTGCTTCGGGGGCGCTCTTGGGGCCATCTTGGAGGACATGGATCAAACAAGAAGTGAGCTCCAATTAGCCTCCCCCCTCGGGAGCACCGAACATCGCCTCCTGGATCCCTCTTGGAGCGCTCTTGGGGCGCTCTTGGGCGCTCGTGGGGCCGTCTTGGGGCTCTCTTGGGCCTCTCCTGGGACCTCATGGGGCGCCTTGGGGGCCTCTTGGTGGTCCTTGGGGCCTCTTGGGCACCTCGGGGAGCCTCTGGGGCCTCTTAGGGGTCTCTTGGTAGTCTTTAGGGGGCATCTTGGGGGTATCTTGGGGCCTCTTGGGCGCCTCTTTGGGCGCTCGTGGGAGCCTTGGGAGCGCTCTTGGGGCCATCTTGGAGGACATGGATCAAAAAAGGGGCGGGGTACTTCAATTCTAGACGCTTCGCGTACCCCCACCAGCCCATCCAGAGAAGATGCCCAGAGGAATTGCCTCGATCAGGGAAGTGGGCAGCACACAGAGGAAGGGTCCCCCAGTGGAGGCCTCTTGGAGCGTCTTGGGTGCCTCGGAGAGCTTCTTGGGGCCTCTTGGGGTCTCTTGGGGGCATCTTGGAGGCCTCTTGGGCGCTTGTTGGGGCCTCCTGGGCGCCTCTTGGGGCCCTCTTGAAGCGCTCTTGGGAGCCTCGGGAGCGCTATTGGGGCCATCTTGGGGGACATCGATCAAACAAGAAACGAGCATTAGTTAGCGTTGCCCCTCGGGAGCCCACACAATCGCCTCTTGGGGCGCTCTTGGAGCGCTCTTAGGCTTTCTTGGGGCCGTCTTGGGACTCTCTGGAGCCTCTCTTGGAGCCCTCTTGGGCCATCTTGGAGCCATCTTGAGGCCTCGGATGGCCATCGGAAGCGAAAAGGCGAGACAGCCAAACACATAGGATGTCCTAAGGTGTTGGCCTCTTCGGGGCCTCCTGGGGGAGCTCTTTGGCCACTGGGAGCCGTCTTGGAGCGGTCTTGGCGCCCTTAGGGGCATCTTGGAGCATCGTGGGAGCCATTGTGAGACATCTTGGGATGTCTTGAGCCATCTTGGAGGTCATCTTGGGCTCTCCCAGGCGCTCTTGGAGTCAACTTAATCAGTGCCCCCCCAAGAGGCCAACATGTGGCTAATACCTTAGAAAAAAAAAACAAGGATTTGGCATTTTCGCCGGGGCCTCTTGGATCATCTTGGGTGCCTCTGGGGGGTCCTTTGGGGCCTCTTGGGGGTCTCTTGGGAGCCTCTTGGGGGCATCCTGGGGGCCTCTTGGGGCTTCCTGTCCACCTCTTGGGGCCCTCTTGGGGCACCCTTGGGAGCCTTGGGGGCAATCTTTGGGCCATCTTGGGCGAGATCGATCACCTCGCGAAACCCCCTGTCCAGGTCCAGAGGAGGGGGTCGGGGGAGGGGTAAACCCCTCCCCGAAGGGGAAGAAGGATGGGTGGAAGAGGAAACTCCCTAAACCACCGACGCCCAGAGGGCTGGTGGGATTAGCGTCGCCCCTCTAGAGTACCAACAATCGCCTCTCCAGGCGCTCTTGGAGCGCTTTTGGGCGTTCTTGGGGCCGTTTTGGCGCTCTCTTCGGACTTTCTGGGGGCCCTCTTTGGCTACCTTAGAGCCGTCTTGAGGCCTCGGATGGCCATCGGACGCGAACGGGCGACGATGCAAACATCATTGATGTCCGTAACTGTTTGAAGGATTGTGGCATCTTCGGGGCCTCCTTGGGCAGCTCTTTTGGCAACTTGGAGCTGTCTTGGAGCGTTCTTGGGGCTTGTTGGAGCATCTTGGGAGCCATCTTGAGGCATCTTAGGCTATCTTGAGCCATCCTGGAGATCATCTTGGGCTCTCCGAGGCGCTCTTGGAGCCGTCTTTGGCCATTTTGGACGCTCCAACGCCTCAGAGGAGGGGGGAAGGAGGAGGGGTAAACCCCTCCCCGAAGGGGAAGAAGGGGGTTGGAAGAGAAAACGCCCTAGACCACCTACGCCCAGAGGGCTGGTGGGATAAACACATTCCCAAGCATAAGCGTTCGGAGATCCGTGCTGATTGTTTGGGTCGGTGATTGACCCAAGAGATCCTGGAGGACCGTCGAAAGGTTCTGCTTATGTGTTCCTCTAGGAGGACCATGGGCATGGAGATGAGGAGGGAGGAGTTGGAAAAGAGGGAGGATGAGCAGGAGAGAAAGATGAGAGCTGCAAAGGAGGGACTCCCCTTCATAGCCCCCTCATTACGTGCTTCCCCCATGTTCTCTTCTCCTACCACTTCCTCATCAAATAATCCCGCTCCTCCTCGTCCCTCCGCCGCCGCATTCTCCTCATCCTTCCATTCTGTCGTTCATGATTGCCTGTTTCCCCCGTTGGGGGCTTGGGACCCTCACGGAACTAGCCCGCTCGAAAGATCCAGCATGAATATTATGCCAACCAGTTTCGTTGTGCTATTCGCCTCGCCATAGCTGCTTCCCTACATCCTGACGGTGCAGTCCAAGCCCTCCTGTGTTGTGGGATCCTCGTTTTGAGACCGCAGCGCCGCGCGTCTCCTTCCTTCTCCTTCCCCCTTCCCCTCCCTGCCCCTGCGCTTTTCCCATGCCTATTTCCGCACACCTCTCACACGTTTCGCGCCGCTTTGAGTGGGCGCGTGCGTATGCCGAACCACACCCATTTTGGCACATCCTTGACACACTTCGCGCGGCGGGGGAGGGAGGGAGGGGGAGGGGGAAGGAAGGAAAGCCGCGCTCAGCTGCCAGCTGGGCCCGCGCAGCCCCGGCTGGCAGGTGGCGAGGCCAGCGCGAGCGGCGCCCCGCGGCCTGGCGGCTCCGCCGCAGCCACGTCGCCCGCCGGGGGGCCACCGCACGCGCCATTGCATTGACGGCTGGCGCGAGCAGCGCTCAGCCCCCGGCGGCGGGCGGCGGCGCGCCGGCGCCAGGCCGCCCTTACGGGCTCCCAGCAGGGCCCTGGCCGCTGCGAGGAGCGCCGCGAGCCCCTGCGTGGCGGGGTCTCCCGCTGCTGCTTCCTCCAGCAGCAGCGCGCCCGCCTGCGCCTCGCGGGCGCCGTCGCCCGCAGCGAACGCGCGCTCGAGGCACCTCCTGCGCCTCTCCGGGCCCGGCCGGCACGCTACCGCCCAGCGGGGCCGGTGGCCATGCCGCATGCCGCGTCGCGCGCGTTTCGGCGGGGGCGCGGCCTGCGCCGGCGGCGAGCCGAGCTGCCGCGGCGGGGTGGCCACCGCGGCGCACGTGGGGGCCGAGCCCGCCCGGGCGCGGCGTCTCGAGGTGGGCCATGGCGAGGGCGCCGCGGCCGCTGGGGCGAGCCCAGCGGTCGGCCAATCGAGGTCGTAGTCGGCTTCGATGCCGTGCTCGTCGGCATCTAGCGCCACAGGTAGCGCCGGCGGCCGCTCGCGGCTTCGCTCCGTCGCCGCACAAGAGTCGGTGCCCGTCGCCCCGCCGCGGCTGGTCCCCGTCGCCCCGCCAACGGGGCAGCTCGCCCCGTCGCCGCGCGGAGGCTGGTGCCCGTCGCCCCCCCGCGGCCGGTGCCCGTCGCCCCGCAGGTGGGGCCAGTCGATGCTGAAGCCTCCTTCGGCCGCAGGAGCGGTCCCGACAAACGGCCAGCCGAGCGCCCATAGGGCTGCCGCCACAGCGGCTGTCGCCGCAGGCGGTGGCGGGTCCAGGGCCGCTCCCGGCCGTGCGGGCGCGCCGGCGCCCGACGCGACTCCTTCGCCGGCGCCGCCGCGGGCTCCCGAAGGAGCCTGTGCTGTCGCGGTGCTGCTGTCGGCGCCGGTGAGCTGGCCGAGTTGCTGTCCGTGCTGCTGCTTGAGGGCTCCCTGGGCGGCTGCGCTTCGCCGCTGGCGCCTCTGCTGCTGGCTTCCCTGCCGCCCCCGAGGGCGGGCGCTGCCGTCGCTCCTGCAAGCGCTCCCGCCGTCGCGAGCGGTTCCTCGGGCGCTGTCCTCGCGGCAGGCCCGCCACCAGGAGCGGCGGGCGCTCCGTCCGCGAGGCCGTGGGGCCGTTCGGGCTGGTGCTGCGGGGGCTGCGGCCCCGTTCCCGGCGGCCGCTGCGCGGGCGCCGCGACGCGCCGGTGTTGCGCTCTCTGGGCGTGGATGGATGTGGTTGGCCTGGCGGTATGGATCCCAGTGTCCAAGCTGGTGGTGTTTGCAATTCAGCTTCGTCGCTCTGCTGGGGTTCTCCTGGTGGCGTAGTCGTCCCTCTCTGCGTCCTTGGCGGCGTGAACATATGGTGCTGGCCCTGATCAGGTTCAACTGGGTACGATGCGAGTGTTGCATGGTGGGCCGCCAGCCGACCCGCGTGTCGGCGCCGGCGCGCGCTGGCCTGGCCGCGCAGCCCCTGCGGGGCGGCGCGCCGGCCGCGTTGGCGGTGAGAGCGGCACCCACTAGCCTTCGCGGTCGAGCCCGTCCCAGCCAGAGGCTCGCGGGCTGCCGCGGCGCGCGTTTTTCTGCGGTTTTCCGCCGCTTCGGTCTCGCTTTTCGGGGGGGATGACGGCGCCCTCGCGCCGTCCGCCAGCGTCAGCTGCGGCTGCGGGGGGGTCGCCGGCGCCGTCCGCCAGCGCCGCTGCCGCCGCGGCTGGCCGCGTCGCCAGACCCTAGAGGTACGCCGGCCGGCCCAGTCGCCGTCCAGGCTCTCGGGAGGGCGGCGCTCTTCGCCGCCGTGGCCCGCCAGCCCGGTGCCTCCGTTGGCCGGAGCGGCGCTCGTGGCGAGGAGCTGCGCCAGCACGACCCTCCAGCGCCGCCGAGGAGGGCGCCAGCGGTGGCTGGGTGCGCCGCTCCCCAGCGCCACCGCGCCTGCTGCCGCGGCGCTTCCGGGTCCGTCGGCCCCCTCACGGTGTTTGGTTGCCGCCAAGGGCGCCGCGCCTCCTCCGCGGGGTCCGTGCCAGTAGCCCGGGGCGTAGCCTGCCGGGCTGCCGCCGTCGCGGAGCGGAACGGCGCACCAGACCCAGACCCAGCCCCGCGGCAGCTGCGCGCCGCCATCCATGCGCCGGGAGCGCGCGCAGGGCCGCTGGGGCTAGACGCCCAGCCGGACCCTCGAGCCCACGGCTACCTCCAGCTCCAAGCCTTCCAGAAGGGATTTGGAGCTTGGCACACACACACACAAACCTCACCCGTATCGTGCCCGCCTCGTGCCCCCATAAGAAGCCATACGTAGCGCCCCATTGGGCACGCGAGTCCGCCGCAGCACTTTCATCTTGGCACATTCCTCACACGCGTCGCACACCAGAAGGCGCGGAACCCACGCAGCATGAGGCGCGTAGTGTATGAGGTCAGGGCCACGCCCTGCGCTATACGCCGCAGCGTGTGGTGTGGCCCTTCCTTCTGCTTTGTGTTGTCGACCCTCCTGTGTTGTTGGGTCCTCGCTTTGATTCCGCAGCGCCACACATATCATCCCTTCTTCCTTCCTCACCCTTTTCCTCCCACACCGCGTCGCGCCACGCACAAACGCACCCCTCACGAGGACCGTGGCCCCAAAGGGAGCCCCACCTACGATCTCAGCGGGGGTGGCCCCATGGAAGTGCCGCGTACAATGCAGCGCAGCTCTCTCTAGGATCGCGGCCCCATAGGGAGCTCCACAAACGGTCCCATTGGTAATCGCATGGCAGCGCCGAGAGTCGTGGCCCCGTGGTGAGCCTACGGTCTCAGCACGGATGGCCGCATCGTGGCGCCGTGCCCAATTTAGCATACCCCTCACGAGGACCGTGGCCCCCTAGGGGGCTCTACCTTCGGTCTCAGTGGGAATGACAGCATGGCGGCGCAGCGCCCGCTTCGGCACACCACTCACGAGGATCGTGGCCCCAAAGGGAGCTCCACATACGGTTGCCAGTGGGGATGACTGCATGGCGGCGCCGCGCCCGGGGCTAGTGGGGATGACCGTGGCCCCACACGGAGCCCCACCGGATTCGGCACACCCTTCACGAGGACCCTGGCATTATAGGGAGCTTTACCTACGGTCTCATTAAGGGTGACCGTATTGCGGCCCCGCGCCCACTTCGGCATAACCCTCACGAAGACCGTTGCTCTATCAGGAGCTCCACATACGGTCCCAGTGGGGATGAGTGCATGGCGGCGCCGCACACAATTCCTCACCATTCCTCACGAGGATCTTGGCCCCACAGAAGGCTCCACCTGCGGCCTTATTGAGAATAACCGCATGGCGGCGCGCGGCGCTCAATTCGGCACACCCCTCACGTGGACCGTCGCCCCATCGGGAGTTCCGCCCATGGTCTCAGTGGGGGTGACCCCATGGTGGCGTCGCGCATTATTCGGCACATCCCTTACTAGGACGGTCCCACTGGTAACCGCATGGCGGCGCCGAGGATGGCGGCCCCATGGTGTGCCCACGATCTCAGCACTGATGGCCGCAGGGTGGCGCCGCGCCAAATTCAGCGCATCCCTCACGAGGGCCGTGGCCCCATAGGGGGCGCCAATTCCAGGTGGGATGACCGCGTGGCGGCACAGCGCCCAATTCGGCACGATCCTCACACGCTGCGCTTCCCATAAGGAGCCCCAAGTAAGGCCCCAGGGAGGGCGCCAACAAAGGGGTCACACCCTTCCATGTTGGTACACCTTCACACTTGTCGTGGCCAATCGGATGCTCTCCTTGCGACCCCACGCCTTCTGGAGGGCGCCAACATGGCGTCACCACGCCCATTTCGACACACAGCCGGCAGATTGCCCACAGAGAGGGCTCCACCTACGGCCCCAGGGAGAGGGCACCAGCATAGCGTCGCCCCGCCCGTTGCGGCACACGCACCCCGCGCGGATCGTGCCCCAGAAGGGGAGGGGGCAGGCAAAAACGCACCCATAGTGAGGAGGTCCGCGTGGCGTCGCCAACCCCATGCCTGCGCACCACGCACGTGCCGTGCCCCACGGCCCCTGGGAGGGCGCCCGCATGGCGTGCCCCTCTTCCCCCACCCTCTCCCTCCTCCCCTTTCACCTTCATCACCTTCTTATTCATCACGGTCCCCCCTCTTCCCCCTGATTGGCAGGACGTCTCGGGCAGAATATTCGTTTGGGGGAGACAGGCGTCTCTGTTCAGAGCTCCGTGGCCACCGCGAGGCTGCAGGCATCGAGCTCGGGAGGTGGGGTCGACCAGAGAGGTGTCGCGGGTCCGTCCGAACCCAGTTCGACTGGTCTTCCCAGGTATCAAGGGAGGAAGAATTACCTGGACCCGACCAGTGGCGTTTACTAAACGGCCTTGGGCGTTTTCTGGACAGCCCTGCCCAGTTTGATTCCTTCTTTGGGCGCGTTTACCAAACGACTTCGCGTGTCGGGGTGGTTATTCTGGGGGTGGATTTTTCGACCTCTAAGGTAGAACGTCTGCTGTCGGGCGAGGGCCCCCGCATCCCTCCTCAGAGCCCTACGACCACTTCCTCTGGTGTTCGTGCTGTCCGCGGTTTGTCTCCCAGGCGTGCGGGAGGAGAGGCCTCCCCTCGCCTCGCCCTTCCCCTCTCTCCCGCCCCTTCCTCCCCCTTCGTCCCTCTCTTCCGCCCCATCCTCCCCCTCGTCCCTCTCTCCCCCCCTCCCCCCTCTCCCCGTCGTTCCTCCTCCTCCTCCCCCCTCCTCCTCCTCTCTCCTCCTCTTCCTCCTCCTCCTCCTCCTCCTCGTCCTCGGTCCTCCTCCTCTCCTCCTCCTCCTCCTCCTCCACCTCCTCCTCCTCCTCCTCCTCCGTTTCGCTCCTCATGATTATCTTCCTTCCGCGTTCCTCCACCAGCCCTATCTTCCTCACGCTAACTCCTCCTCCTCCTCCTCCTCCTCCTCCTCCTCCTCCTCCTCCTCCTCCTCCTCCTCCCCTCCTCCCCGTTCGTTCTCCTCGTCGCGCTCCTCGTCCGTCTTGTTTCATTTCTTCTTCGTTCCTGCTGCAGTCCCGCAGAGGAGCGGGGGCCCCCGCAGAAGATGTGGCACCATCTCCGGAGAGACTGTCGTTCGCCGTTGGTCTCCTCACGCTGAGCAGAGACGGTGAAGCCAGCAGCGGCAGATGAGGAGGAAGGGGTTCATGAGAAGGTCGTCGAACGGGAGGAGGAGGAGGAGTCGAGGAGGAGTCGAGGAGGAGGAGCAGGAGCAGGAGCAGGAGCAGGAGCAGGAGCAGGAGCAGGAGCAAGAGGAGGAGGGAGCCAGGAGAGAGCCAGTAGAGAGCGAGGATGGGAAGGAGCAGGAGAGTGGCCCTCCCGTTCTGGCTGTTCGCACGGGTCGGGGCAGGGAAGACGCCGTCCACACCCTGGAGATCATGCTCCGCGAAGGCTCCAGGCCCCGCCGCCCGTTGTGGAAAGCGTCCCCTCCAGCTACCCCTCGCCCCCTCGCCTCCCCGATCCCTCTCCCGTCCATAGATATCCATCCCCCGTGCCCTGCTGTCCTTCCCCCCTCGTGTTCGAGGCGGCGGAAAATGCCCAGCGCGAGCTCAAGCAATTCGGCATCGTTGTTTCCGCACAGGATTTCGGGCGTGGCGCAGTGTCTGCACAAGGGGCAATGTCAAGCCGATGCACTATGTCCACCATGTCAGAAGCGGATGCGTTTGAGCGACCTTCGCCATTTGTGAAGAGTGCGTTCTTTTGAGCAGACGATGAAGTTTGGGAAGTGCGGCCCTGACGACCAGCGACGTCCTGAAGCTCCCATTGGGCGGCCTCGCATTTCCGGACGCGTTGCAGTTCACACAAGTCCGGGCCCTCCGCGAAAAAACAATCGCGAGGGTTTGGGTATTCCGCAACAAACAATTCACGAGTGTCCTGGCCCCCCGCGAAAAAATTGGGAGAATCCAGGCCCCCCCGCGAAAAAAATCGAGAGGGTCCGGGCTTCGTCTCTTCTGCCGCACATCCAGGGATGCCACTGGCGGGCTCTGCCCGCCCCCGCCCGCGGGGGCAAGGCAGCGGGAGGGGGGATGGGAGTGAGCCTGCCCAAAGAACAAGCCAAACATTTTTTGGGGATGGAGGGCAGAGGGTGAGGTCTGAAATGCCGTTTCGGATGATTTTCGAGGCTTGGATCTGCAAGCGGTGAGAATCACATGACGGATCGATCTGCGAGGTGCAAAAGCCCATCTGGATGTAACCCTGAGCCCTCCACCTTGAGAGAATGCTCAGACAAAGGTCCGTTGGTCTGATCTCCTCCTTGCCCGCTGGCTGGGTGCGCCCGTCCGCCCCCTTTCTTTGGTTTCCTCCTCCCCCTCTCCCGACTTTCGGCGGCGGCTCTTCTCCGCCCTGGCCCCCTGGGGCCCTCACGCCTCACGGACTGGTCCAGCCTGGCCGACCTCCCCCTCCGCCTCATCTTCGTCCTCCTGCTGCAGCTCCTCCTTCCTGCTCCTCCTCCTCCTCCTCCTCCTCCCGCTCCCTTGCCCTCGTCGTCTTCATCCTCCAGCGGTCCTGCTCAGGGCCAGAGGTCTTCCCTCAGCGAGGCTGCAGGCTACAGCCCCGTGCTATCCGCAGATCCTTTTACATGTTCTCGGTCGGTTTGCAGCGTGCTGTACTCAGCAGAGACAAGCCAGGGTCGTAAGCGTTCCCGCCAGTCCAGTCCTCCTCCTCCTCATTCTCCTGCTCTCTTGCCCTCCTCGCCGTCGTCATCCTCCGAAGCCCGCGCGCTGTTTTATCTTGCGCTCCAGGCTGGCTCGCCGTTTCTGACGAGTCTGGCACATCTGGGACGCACTCGGCGAGGCGCAGCTACTGGAGGGCACCGAGACTGAACGACGAAGACGCGCAAAAACCTCGAGCTTCGAGCCTGTCACTCCCTAGCGTTGGGCCGCTCTCCCTGCCAGCGTCCCTGAGGGTAGCCGGTGTGAGGGCCTTTCGTCCCCGTCGTCGTCACCACCGCTATCCGCAGCAATTGTGACCCACGAGAGCCCAGTCACCACCCACCAAACCACCCCAACCCAACCCGAAGGCCTCAATTTGTCCTCCTTTTCCGGTGGGGGGGGTGTCGGGCAACATCGGGTCTTGGGTTGGGTTGGGGTGGTCTGGTAGGTAGTCAGCCAGGCCGCGAACAAGGCCCCCGCATCCTCGGCCTCTTGGGCACCGGCCATGCGGACCGCACGGCGGCGCGCCGCCTGTGGCGGCAGCGCCAAGCGCAGCTTGGCAACTCCGACGACGACGCCGACGACGCCGACGCCGACGCCGACGACGACGGTGTCAATGCCGACGCCGACGCCGACGCCGACGCCGATGCCGACGCCGATGCCGACGCCGATGCCGACGACGACGACGACGACGACGCCGACGACGCCGACGCCGACGACGACGACGCCGACGCCGACGCCGACGCCGACGCCTACGCCGACGCCGACGATGACGATGACGACGACGCCCACGCCGACGGCGACGATACCGACACCGACGCCGACGACAACAACGACGACGCCGACGCTGTCGCCGTTGCCGACGCCGACGCCGACGACGACGATGACGACGCCGACGCCGACGCCGACGTCGACGACGTCAATGCTCATGCCGACGCCGACGCCGATGCCGACGCCGACGCCGATACCGACGCCGATGCCGACGACGTCGACGCCGACGCCGACGATGCCGATGCCGACGCCGACGACGACGCCGACGCCGATGCCGACGCCGATGCCGACGCCGGCGACTACGACGACGACGCCGACGCCGACGCCGCCGACGCCGACGAGAGCCGACGCCGACGACGACGATGACGACGACGACGCCGACCCGACGTCGACGACGTCAATGCTCATGCCGACGGCCGACGCCCGATGCCGACCCGACGCGATACCGACGCCGATGCCGACGACGTCGACGCCGACGCCGACGATGCCGATGCCGACGCCGACGACGACGCCGACGGCCGATGCCGACGCCGATGCCGACGCCGGCGACTACGACGACGACGCCGACGCCGACGCCGCCGACGCCGACGCCGACGCCGACGAGACGTGACGACGAGCCCACGCCGACGCCGACACACCGATGCCGACGCCGACGACGACAACGCCGCCGCCGACGACGACGATGCCGACGGGCCGACGCCGACCGCCGACGCGACGCTGTCGCCGTTGCCGACGCCGACGCCGACGACGACGACGACGCCGACCGCCGACGCCGAGTCGACGACGTCAATGCTGATGCCGACGCCGATGCGCCGTCGACGCCGATACGACGCCGATGCCAACGACGATACGACGACGACGCGGACGCCGACGACGACGGTGTCAATGCGACGCCGACGCCGACGATGACGCGATGCCGACGCCGATGCGACGAAGACGACGACGCCGACAACGCCGACGGCGACGACGACGACGACGCCGACGCCGACGGCCGACGCCGACGCCTACGCCGACGCCGACGATGACGATGATATGACGACGAACGCCCACGCCGACGATGACGACGCCGACGCCGACGCCGACGTCGACGACGTCAATGCTGAGCCGACGCCGATGCCGATGCCGACGCCGATACCGACGCCGATGCCGCGACGACGACGACCGACGACGACGATGCGATGCCGACGCCGACGACGACGCCGACGCCGATGCCGACGCCGATGCCGACGCCGGCGACTACGACGACGACGACGCCGACGCCGCCGACGTCGACGCCGACGCCGACGATGACGATGACGACGACGCCCACGCCGACGCCGACGACACCGATGCCGACGCCGACGACGACAACGACGACGCCGACGACGACGATGCCGATGCCGACGCCGACGCCGACGCCGACGCTGTCGCCGTTGCCGACGCCGACGCCGACGACGACGACGACGCCGACGCCGACGTCGACGACGTCAATGCTGATGCCGACGCCGATGCCGCCGCCGACGCCGATACCGACGCCGATGCCAACGACGATGACGATGACGACGACGACGACGCCGACGCCGACGACGACGACGACGACGCCGACGACGACGGCGACGACTATGCCGACGACAATGATGACGACGACGGCGACGTCGACGCCGACGCCGACGACGACGCCGATGCCGAAGACGACGACAACGCCGCCGCCGACGATGCCGACGCCGACGGCGTCAATGCCGACGCGACGCCGACCGACGACGACGACGACGACGCCGACGCCGACGACGACGACGACGACGACGCCGACGACGACGGCGACGACTATGCCGACGACAATGATGACGACGACGGCGACGTCGACGCCGACGCCGACGACGACGCCGATGCCGAAGACGACGACAACGCCGCCGCCGACGATGCCGACGCCGACGGCGTCAATGCCGACGCCGACGCCGACGACGACGACGACGACGACGACGACGACGACGACGACGACTACGACGGTGACTGCGACGACGACGACGACGACGATGCCGACGACGACACCGACGCCGACGACGACGATGACGACGACGACTAGGACGGCGACGCCGACGTTGCCGACGACGCCGACGACGACGCCAACGCCAACGCCGACGCCGAAGCCGACGACGACAGCGATGCCGACGATGACGACGACGACGACGACGACGACACCCACGCCGACGCCGACGATACCGACGCCGACGCCGACGACGACGACGACGATGACGCTGTCGATGCCGACGCCGACGCCGACGCCGACGCCGACGATACCGAAGCCGACGCAGATGCCGACGATGCCGACGCCGACGCCGACGCCGACGCGGATGATGCCGACGCCGACGCCGACGCCGATGCCGATGCCGACGCCGACGCCGACGACGACGACGACGACGACGACGACGACGACGACTAGGACGACGACGCCGACGACGCGGGCGACGACGACGACGCCGCCGAGGGCGACGCCGACGCCAACGCCGACGCCGACGCCGATGACGACGACGCCGACAACGACGACGACGATGACGACGACGACGACTACGACGACGACGCCGACGACGCCAACGACGACGACGCCGACGCCGACGCCGAAGTCGACGCCGGCGCCGACGCCGACGCCGACGCCGACGATGCCGTCGCCGACTCCGACGAAGACGACGACGCCGACGCCGAAGAAGACGACGGCGCCGACGCGGACGCTGACGACGCCGACGCGGACGCCGAGGCCGACGCCGACGCCGACGCCGAGGCGTCAATGCCGACGCCCACGCCGACGCCGACGCCGATGCCGACGTCGACGCCGCCGGCGCCGCCGCCAACGCCGGCGACTACGACGACGACGACGAGTAGGACGTGGACGCCGACGACGCCGTCGCCGACGACGACGACGACGATCACGCCGACGCCGACGCCGACCGACGCCGACGACGAAGCCGACGCAGACGACGACGACGCCGACGACGACGACGACCCCGACTCCGACGCCGCCGACACCGACGCCACCGCCGCCGCCGACGCCGACGCCGAAGACGACGGCGCCGACGCCGACGATGCCGACGCCGACGCCGACGCCGCTGCCGCCGCCGCCGCCGACGCCGACGCCGACGCCGTGGCCATCCCTGCGTCGTCGGCGTCGGCAACGTCGTCGTCGGCGTCGGCGTCGGCGTCGGCGTCGGCGTCAGCGGCGTCGGCGTCGGCTTCGGTTCGTGCGTCGGCCTGACGACGTCGGCGAGCGCGGCGTCGGCGATCGGCATCGTCGCTGTCGTCGTCCTCGTCGCCAACCCGCTGGCGTCGGCGTCGGCGTCGGCGGCGTCGTCGTCGTGCGATCCCTAGTCGTCCGTCGTCGGGGTGCGTTGGCTCGGCTTCGGCTCGCTTCGGCGACTGCGTCGCGTCGGCGTCGCGCCACGTCTCGTCGGCGTCCGGCGTCGAGTCGGGTCGGAGTCCGGGCGTCGGCGTCGGCGTCGCGCGGCGGCTGCGTCCGCGTCGGCTGTCGGCGTCGGACTTCGTCGGCGGAGGCGCCAAGGCGTCGGCGGCGGCGGCGGCGGTGGCGCGGCGGTGGACGTCGGCGTCGGCTGCGGCGGCGGCGTCGGCATCGTCGTCGGCGTCGGCGTCGGCATCGGCCGTCGGCGTCGGCTGCGTCCGCGTCGGCGGCGGCTGCGGCGCGCGGCTGCGTCGCCGTAGGGGGGGGGGGAGGGGGGGGCGCCCTCGCTCGGCCGTCCGGCGCCGTCTGTCCGTCGTCGTCGAACATCGTCGTTGTCGTCGTCGTCGGCGGGGCGCTGGCGTCGACGGCGGCGTCGTCGGCGTAGGCTCGTTTCGACGTTGGCGTCGTTATCGTCGGCGTCTGCCGTCGTCGTCGGTGTCCAGGCGGGCGTCCGGCGTTGTTGGTCGTTTGGCGTCGTGCGTCGTCAATCGTCGTCGTCGGCGTCGGCGTCGGCTTCGTGCGTTGGCGTCGTGCGGCGTCGGCGCGGTGTCGTCGGCGCGCGTCGGCGTGGCGAGTTCGCCCCGTCGGGGGGGTTCAGTCATCGGCATCGTCGTCGTCGGCGTTCGGCGTCGGCGTCGTGCCGCTCGGCTTCGGCGTCGGCGTCGGAGTCGGCCCGGTCGGCGTTGACGTCGGCGGCGGCGTCGTCGTCGGAATCGGCGACGTCGGCGGCGTCGTCGGCGTCGTTGTCGGCGTCATCGGCGTCGTCGTCGGCGTCAGCGTCGCCGTCGGCATCGGCGTCGGCGACGGCGTCGGCTTCGGCGTCGGCGGCGTCCGCGTCGGCGTCGGCGTCCGCGTCGGCGTCGTCGGCGTCGGCGTCGGCGTCTTCTCAGTGTCGGCGTCACCGGTCGGCGTGTCGTCGGCGTCGGCGCCCGAAGACGCCGACGACGCCGACGCCGACGCCGACGCCGACGCCGACGCCGACGCCGACCACGACGACGCCGCCGCTGACGCCGACAGCTGACGACGCCGACGCCCGACACCCGACGCCGACGCCAACACCGATGCCGACGCCGACACCGACGCCGACGCCGACGCCGACGACGCCGACGACGATGACGATGACGACGCCGACGACGCCGACGACGCCGACGACGCCGCCGACGCCGACGCCGACGCCGACGCGGACAGCGCAGATGACGACGACGACGACGACGATGACGACGACGACGACGACGACGACCTCGACGAAGCCGACGCTGACGCCGACAGCTGACGACGCCGACGCCGACGCCCGCCGCCGACGCCAACACCGATGCCGACGCCGACACCAACGCCGACGCCGACGCCGCCGCAAGCCGACTAGCCCGACGATGTCGAGCCGCGACGACGCGACTCTGCCGTACGCGACAGCCGACGTCCGACGCTGCCAACGCAGATGACGACGACGAAACGGAACGAAGATTACGACGACGACGACGACTCCCGAGGACGCGAACGACAGACACGGACGACTACGACGACGACGACGACGACCCTGCTCCACGGCGACCGAAGCGACGCCTTCGCCGCGGCGACGGCCGACGCCGACGCCGACGCCGACGCCAACCCGGCCGACAACGAACGACGAACGCCGTACGCCTACCCCGCCGACGCCGATGCCGCAGCCGACGCCGACGAGCCGACGAAAGGGCCGACCACGACGACTACGGCTGCGCCGCGCCGACCGCCGACGATGCCGACGCCGACGCCAACTTCGACGCCGACCTTCGTACCCGGGGGCCGCCGCCGACGCCGACGCCGCCGACGCCGACGACGACGCCGACGACGACCGCGACGGCGACGCCGACGCCGACGCCGACGCTGACCGCGACGCCGACGCCGACGCCCGAAGACGCCGCCGACGACTCCGACGCCGACTCCGACGCCGACACCGACGATGCCGACGCCGACGGCGTCAATGCCGACGCCGACGCCGACGACGCCGACGCCGACGACGACGCCGACGACGCCGACAACGACGCCGACGACGCCGCCGACGTCGCCGACTCCGACGACGACGCCGACGCCGACGCCGACGCCAACGCCAACGCCGACTCCGACGCCGACGCCGACGCCGAAGCCGACGACGACGCCGACGCCGACGCAGACGCCGCAGCCGAAAGACAACGGGGGCGACGACGACGCCGACGCCGACGATGCCGACGCCGACTACGATGGAGGCTCTCCCGCGAAGAGGCGGCGCTTCGGCCCCGCGGCTCGTCTCGGGCGGCGCCCCGGGTCTTGGTTTCGCCACCCGGAGCAGTGGGTTAGCGTCCCAGCTGTTTCCAAGACTCGGCAGATCAAACTTGCGAGCGTTCCAGTCAGCGTCCCAGCTGGTCCCATGCCGAGGCGCCGCAGAATTCCAAGCGTCAACGTCCCGAGCTGCTACCAGCATCCTGCCCCGCGGACCGGGGCGACGCGCTCTCCGATTGCTTGGCGTAGCGTGCCGGCGCCACCTGGCGCCCTCGGGGAGGCTCTCGCCGCCGCGCGGCAAGGTGCGTTTCCCCTTGCCGCCGCTGTGGGCCGCCACCCCGCGCATACGGGGCGTATTCTCGTGCATGCTCCGCGCCGACCGTACCCGTGCGACTGCGTATCGCGTATCTGCGGGATCGCGTCCCGGAATCCAGACTGCGTGACCGGCGCCCCTCCCCCACTGAGTCGTTGCTGCTGGGAGTGGGGGCGGGTTGTGTTGTTCTTACCCGCGCAAGCGGCGGCGCCGGAGCAGGCGTGGGGGACACGAGCGGGCGGCGGAGGCGCGCCGACCTGCCGAGGCGGAAGGCCGACGCCACTCTGGTGGGCCGAGCGCGCGGCCCACCAGAGTGGTGTCGGCAAAGGAGGCGCCCGTCTGGCACGCCTAGGACGGAGGGAGAAGGGAGGAGGAGGAGGAGGAGGAAGAGGAGGAGGAAGAGGCCAGCGCGAGGAGGCGCCTCGCAGCTGGCCGCCGGAGGAGGGGCGCCCTGGCCAAGGCGCTCGGCGGCGGCGGCGCGCCCAGCCTAAGAAACCTCCACCGTCGCCGTCGCCGACGTCGACGACGCCGACGACGCCGACGACGACGACGACGACGACGCCGACGACGACGACGACGCCGACGCCGACGCCGCCGCCGACGACGACGACGCCGATGGCTTACGGCGAGCGCGGGGCCGCGGCCGAGCACGGGCGGGGGTCGGTCACGCGGGCCGCCGTTCGAGGTTTCTCTGGCCGTCTTGCGGCCGACGCCGACGCCGACGCCGACGACGCCGACGCCGACGCCGACGCCGCCGACGCCGACGCCGACGCCGACGCCGACGCCGACGCCGGTGGCGACGACGACGACGATGTTGACGACGACGACTCGCCCCTCGCTCGCCTGCGCCCCCGCGCTTCGGTTCGCAGCGGAATGCGTCCTGCCGTGTGCTTGGCCGCTTGTTGGACCCAACTCGCCGCGGAGGAAAAGCGTGCACGTCCGGTGGGCAACCACAAAAAACAGGCAAACAAGCACTTAGCTTGGGGGGCCAGAAGTTCACCCGTCCTTTATGGAGCAGAGAAATACGGTCTATAGGTGGTTTTTGGAGGCCCGACGCCTTCTCCATATTACAAGCAGCAACGTCATCAGCATCGTCGTCACGACCTGAATGTTCAGCGGCATCATCGCAGGCGCCCGCACACCAGCCAGCTCTATAGTGATCAAGTGAATTGCCGCTGTCCCAGGGAAGCCTCCCGGCCTCATCGCTGGCACGCTGCCACGACACACGATCCCCATAAACATCCTCCACGCGGAAGGTGCGCGCCGCAAGTTATGTACACCGTGATGGGCCTGGTTTCCACCACCACCACCATAAGCTGTAGGGGGAAAGGAGGGGGACGAGGACGAGGAGGACGACGAGGAGGAGGAGGAGGAGGAGGAGGAGGAGGAGGACCCCCTCCCCCTCCAACTCATGGTGGTGGTGGTGGAGGAAGACAGGCCCATCATATCCCTATAAGTATCTTCCACGCGGAAGGCGCGCGCCGCAAGTTATGTACACCTGGATCCCCCCGATCAGCCGCAGAGCGGCTGGCGAGTGTGAGCATCCGGCCGGGCGGCGGGTGCCGGCGGGCAGGCCGAACACCGCCGCCCGCAACGCGGCCGCGAGCGCCTGCCTGAGGGGGGCGCGCTGGCGCCTGTCCCTGCGGATCCTGGACAGCGCAGGCCGCGCGCACGCTGGCCGCGGGGCGGAAGGAGGGACGGGCGAGGAGGGGGAGCGAGGGGGGGTGCGACGAGAGTGGTGAGGCAGGGCAGGGCACGAGGGAGAACGAGGAGGACGAGGATAAGTAGCAGGAGGGGAGAAGCTGAAAGGCATCAGAAGGTGTAGACTGAGACGGAGATGGAGGAGGAGGAGGAGAACCAGACGACGAGTGCGATGAGAGTGCGCGACCAACGTTCCTATTGAACGTCGCGTGCCGAGTATGGTCTGGACTTGACATGTACGTACGGCAATCGTCAGTCGATGTCTACGCTTTAGGTATTCCAGGAATGGCAGGTCGCCCCGACAGCAGTCCAATTACTCGTGCGACCGCTCTGTTGGTGGCAAAGCATGTGCAGCATCGTTACTCACCGCGGTGAGTTTCTCGCGGCCTTTTTTGGTAGGTGCTCGTTTCGAGCAGCAAGCAGCCACAAGCAACCGCCCAGTGGCACCGCCGACGGAGAACAACACAGCAAAGGGACGATGAGCAGATCCGTGACGAATTTACTTCTTGTGATGTTCGAGCGCTATGCGCGAGCTTCTGGACGTGTCAGTGGACAGCAGCGCCGCCGCGCCCGCCAGCGGGTGCGCGCGCCACGGCGCTGCCGCAAACGAGCCGTTGCGGCACCGTGTGGGCGAGGAGTTCATCGGCGCCCAGGTGCGAGTTCGCGGAGGGCATGATGAGGTGAGCCGCAGGTTGGGGTCGCAGCGCAGGCAAGCCCAGCGAGAGCCCCCAACTCAGGTTGCTCCCCCTGTGGCTGCCGACACCCCTCAGGGTACCAACTCCCGCGTTGTCCGTGACAGGCTACACGGTCGGTGGCCAACTTCATCGCCGTGCGCTACATCTGCAGCGTTAATCGGGGCACGGTCTGCGCTCCTGGGCATGGGCCTCACAGGCTGGCCGTGATAGTCAGGTCGGTGCAGACCCCGCGCAGACCATGCCCAGGCCACTGGTCCAACACCTGGCATCTCTGGAATGAGGCCGCCCGATGGCGCCCCTGAGCGTGACGATGGGCACCCCTGGTCGGCCCTGGCCCAAGGAGCCATTGGCATGGTCGCTCAGCAGTGTGATTGTGCCCGCCCTGTGTCGGATCCTATGGGGATGCACACACGACGCTTTCATGCATCTGTTTTGGCATCTGTGTCACGCTGTGTTTCCTCCTCCCTCCCCATCTCTCGGGCCCCACTCATTGCTCTTCCCTTCCCCCCTTGTGTTTGACGATGGTCCGACGTCACGTGCAGCTGACGTCCCAGCTGGTGATGTGATGTGCTGCGCCACTGTTTTGGGGTCGCCCCGGCGGCCTGGGCAACACAGCGCTGCACAGCGCTGCATCTGCATTCACTCCTCCTCGATTGGGGATGTGGATCCGTTTCGCGCTCTCTTTTCACTCGGCCCGGAGCCATTTGCCCCAGGGCCGAGTTTTTCGATCCAGCTTTCGTTGCCACGGATGCTGAGCTTGCGCTACGGGAAAAAAACAGTGTTCTTGTAACCGCCTGGTCTTCGGCGATGGCCGCCCGAAGTATTGACAGCAGCCCACGGCTTAGGGACCAACTCGCTCAGCCAGAACGCCTCGTCGGCCTAATGCTGTGCCAGTCCCAGCGGCAAAAAGTCACTGGACTTGACATACGTGCTGGCAGACGCGTCAGCACTGCAGGCCCAGCTCTGATGAAATTCCAGCTCGTTGCGTTCCCGACGCCTCGGGCACTTCGGCCTGACCTGCTTTCGCGTTCTGGCGGCTGCCCGACGTTCCCGTGGCCAGGCGCCGCCCGCTGAAATAGACACGAGGGGTTCTGCGAGGCGTCGGCCGTTGGGAAGAGCCGTCAATTGCTCGACCGATGGTATCAGTGAACGATTGTCGGCACCGCCTTCATGTGGGTAATTGCGGGGCAGTTTGGCGTCTCGATCTCTTCGTGATGGAGGAGGTCTGGGTCTGCCCTTCTCGCTGCCCCCTCCCCGGAGAAGCGAGGCAAAACTGTGGTCCGAGCCCCGGCCGCGGGAGGCCCACCTGGGACCACAGTTTCAAGAAGCACGGTGGGGGCGTTCGCCTGGGAGGGTTCCCTAGAGGGCCACATGCGAACCCCACCCCCACCCTCCCCCTCAGAAAACGTGGGGGGTGTCGTAGTGGTAGTAGTGGTAGTAGTAGTAGTAGTAGTAGTAGTAGTAGTAGTAGTAGTAGTAGTAGTAGTAGTAGTAGTAGTAGTAATAGTAGTAGTAGTGGTAGTGGTAGTAGTAGTAGTAGTCGTAGAGGTAGTAATAGTAGTAGTAGTAGTAGTAGTAGTAGTAGTCGTAGTAGTAGTAGTAGTAGTAGTAGTAGTAGTAGTAGTAGTAGTAGTAATCGTAGTCGTACTAGTCGTAGTAGTAGTAGTAGTAGTAGTCGTCCTAGTCGTAGTAGTAGTAGTAGTAGTAGTCGTAGTAGAATGTGTGGTCTTATTAAGAGAAAGAGTGGTAGTCATAGTCGTGGTAGTAGTAGTCGTAGTGGTA